ACCTACCCAGACTAGGACTAGAAACTAGACTAGGTCTAGTTTCATTAAACTAGACCTACCCAGTTCCATCAACCGTTCGTTATGTTTTAGCCTCCAGTCCCCTAATCATCTTTGTTTGCTCTTCTCTGCACTTATTCTAGAGCAGTGTTTCTCAACCTTGGCAACTTGAAGATGTCCGGACTTCAACTCCCAGAATTCCCCAGCCAGCATTTGGGAGTTGAAGTCCAGACATCTTCAAGTTGCCAAGGTTGAGAAACACTGGACTAGTGCCTTTGATTTTTCAAATAGGCAGACATTTTAAACTCGTTTTTCTAATAAGAAAGAAGCAAAATCTGAAATTCAGTGCCATTATAATGTCAAACAAATGGTTATAAATTGAGGACTAACTATATGAATTATTTTGCCCTACATAAACTTAGGTCTTGCTTTCAGTAAAAAAAAAAACTTTACAGGAATGGTCTCAAGATTTCAATAACCTTCATTCAAAATGTACAACGATTTGCTTGAAATGGTATAGGATTTCCTGCTTGAGCAGAAGGTTGGATTAGAAGACCTCTAAGGTCCCTTCCAACTCTGTATTCTGTTATTAATCTTGTCAAGATTACTCAGAATGTACTTTAGCTCTAATCTGTGTCAGTCACTGGGATGAGAGGTTTAATTTTCCGAGCTTTCAGATTTATTTATCTTCAGGGAAACTTTCTAGCAGAATGTGTCTTTTGGGCTATCCTCTGTGTGGTATTGATATGCTGCCTGTTCTGTGTGGCTTTTTTAGATGTTGATTGGGGTATTGATGGCTAGCTATTAAGTCATTGGCTGTTGTTTCCTTGTGCTACCAAGCCCTCACCTCCTAAGTACTTGATAAGATGGTGGTAAATCAGCACTCCTGTTGACTGACAAGAGGGCCGTTTTCCAGGCTTCGTTTCCCTGGTTATTTTTGTACCTGCCCATCCAACAATCTTAGTAGCTGCAAAATTGAATTGATTCCTTGTTCAGTGCAATGTGAGGTTACCAATGAGTTAGCATGTGTCTGAAACTTCAGAAGACTAAACCGCCGGACCCAGTGACCGATCCAGATTGGATCCCGCAAGATGATCCTGGGACATGGCTATTTGCCTTCATTCGTAAAACTTTAGCTCTATTCGCAGAAATCTCTCGTACAAGAATTATAGAATTGAAACAATCTTTTGATGCCTTCTTGGATTGGATTGGATTTATTAAATTTATAGACCGCCCAATCCCGAAGGACTCCAGGCGGCTTACAGAAAATAAATTTTAAAAAGTGAAGAGTTAAAAACAATGGAGGAAAGCAGATTAAAAGAAGCACATCATGCACCCAGTCTAATCGGGGCTCGACCTCAGTCGTGAGGTCAACAGCCTGAGGCCTGCCGGAATAGCCAGGTTTTGACAGCTTTTCGGAAGGCCATGAGAGTGGGAAGGGTCCGGATCTCTGGGGGGAGTTCGTTCCATAGGGTCGGAGCGGCTACAGAGAAGGCCCGCCCCCAGGGCGCCGCCAGCCGACATTGTCTGGCTGATGGCACCTGGAGAAGGCCCACCCTGTGCGATCTTATATGTAAAGCCAATCTAAAGCTAAAGTAAATATTTGGCAGCACATTTTACCACTGAGAATGTAAGATGCCAACAAGGAGCTGGAAAGGGGAACAATAGGTGAATAACAGTTACCATATTTTTCGCAGTACAAGATGCACTCCCCACCCTCCCCAAATGGGTGGAAATGTCTGTCCTCTTATAGAGCGAATATTGCGGTGGATGAGGGGAGTTCACTGCCACCACTGCCTGTCACTGCTGCCACTATTCGCCGCTGCTGGGGAACGCTGGAGCTTTGCTGCCAAGCAGCTGATCGGTGGTTAGATCGACCTCTCGGAATACCACTGATCAGCTGTTTTAGGCTGTAGCAATCGGCAGTGGCAATCCCACCGCCTAGAACAGCTGATCGGCAGTATTTCAGGAGGCCAATCCAACTGCTTGGCAGCGAAGGCTCCAGGGTTCCCTGGTGGTGGTGGTGGCGGCAGCTCAGCTCTGTTGACCGGTGGTGGGTGCAACGGAGCGGAACCCTGATGAGCCACGTGCTGGGGCTGCGATAATGTGCTGAAGCTGACCAGGGTATTTGCTGTTTCCTGCAAGAACACTAGCCAGATAAATACCGGATGGATGCTGAGAGGCAGAGGCAGATTTTTGTTTTCTTGTTTTCCTCCTCTAAAGCTAAAGCTTATAGTCTTCAGCGTCTTATAGTCCGAAAAATACAGTACTTAATCCTTCTTCTGCTTGCTGCTCCTCTATACCTCTTGAATCGCCAGCCTTACTTTTTGAATGATCCCAAAAGAAGCGCAGGGGAAAGTAACGAACTAAATGCAAAAACTGATTTCCTGTTTGCAAGTTGTCTCTTTTATATCACCTTCTCACTCAGCTGCCTTTCGTTCATATTTCTCCCATATTTTGGTGGGGTGAGGCGAACCATTCAACAATGATAACATAATATTCAAATCAGTGCTATTTGAAAAGCGTTTGATTTTTGCATGTTTAAATTACTGGTTTTTCTGTGGTTGGATTATTTATTATTTATTTATTTTAGAATTGTAGAACTGAATAGGCTGCTGATGAATGCATTAAAATGATTGAATATTGTCAAATGGTCTGTCATATACATAAATCATTGTGTTTTTAAAGTTTTCCTTCTTTTTTCTTGTCTAATTAAAGTACTGAGTGTTGGTGCGCTGCTTACCAGCCAGTTGTCCCAAATTGGCTGAAATAGTAACGTTTGGGGTGAAGCGTGTGCCATCTAAAAGTACTTCTGAGAAATCTTACTGATTAAAAGGTAAAAGTGCAAAAAGTTAAATAATTTCAATAGTGCAACCTGGTCATATCCCTCTGGTTAAGCAGAGTATGTGACTAAAGATGTTAATCTTTCTTCCTTTCTTTGGGAGATAGATCGACCTCACCTCATTCAAAACAATAAAATAGAATAAATCAATGGGTACCCCAAAACTAGTAATTGGAACTGGAGGAGAGTTTCTCTGGAATAGATGGGAGTAGCAAAGACCCTCTTTCCTGGTTTGTTTCTGGTAGTTTAGTTAGTTTAGTTAGTTTAGTTTAGTTTAGTTTATTAGTTTTGTATGCCGCCCACTCCCGGAGGACTCCGGGCGGCTTACAATAAAAAAGGGAAGGGGGATAAATAAGACAATACAAAATTTAAAAAACAACAACATTCACAATTAAAGTGGGGCTGGATACTTTTTACATTGGAACAGCTAAGGCGAAGCGCCCATCGACCTGAGTAATGTTGAGTTAGCCAACGCCCACATGGTCACATGACCACTAAGCCCTGCCTACCCACCTGGTCATTAGGACAGAGAACCGGTCGATAAATTATTTGAATCCCACCACTGCCCCTTACCCTCTTTCTCTGGACTATCTGAGCACCTCTTGTGAATGGC